CAACATCATCGGGAAAAAAAGCAGCTTTAACAGCTGAAGAACAACAAAAAATTGTATCAGGTTTTCAAGCATTACGTGATGAACAAACACAATTAGTACAAAAAACTCAAGATTTAGAAATGGATTTAAAAGAACATGATCTTGTTCTTTCAACATTATCAACAATAACCGATAAACAACGTCGTTGTTATCGTATGATTGGTGGTGTTCTTATTGAACATACTGTTGGAGAAGTTGTTCCTGCACTTCAAGCTAATCGTGAACAAATTAATAATGTTATTGAAAGTTTTAAACAAAAAACAGAAGAAAAAGCTAAAGAATTAACAACATATAAACAAAAATATGATATACATTTTTCATATGAACGACCAACACAACAACAACAAACATCAAAATCTACTAATAATGTTGTTGATTCGGGTACAACAAAAAAAGAACCACAAGATTCAGGTGTTTTAGTTGAAAAAGAAAATTAAATAAAAAAAAACGATTCTACTTTTTGAAATGATCACTTTTTATGTTTGTTATCGTTGAGTGATGTTCTCCTTTTCTTTTTTTTTTCTTCTAGTATCGATTAAAAATAAGAACGTTTGCTTGTTTGTTTTTAAGATATTTAAGCAAAAAAAAAAAAAAGAAATGATTGATGATTCTGATGATGAACTTCCAAGTAATTGGGAAGAAGCAAAAACAACTGATGGACGAATATTTTATATTAATCATATAACACAAATAACACAATGGGAACATCCAATTACAAATCAAGTTAAAATTATACCTAAAGGTATATATGAACGTTTTTTTTTAATTGTTTAATTTTTTGTTTATTTGCTTGTTAGAATTACCATTTGGTTGGAAAGAAGTTATTGAAAAAAATGGTAATGTTTTTTATATCAAGTATGTTTGATGATTAATTATTAGATATGAGAATTTTATTTCATAGAAAAAAAAAATCTTAGCAATTTGAAAATTGTTCTTAAAGTTTGAAATTTGTGCTTAAATTAGATTTCAATGAAATTTTTTATTTTTCAAAAATCTTTTTCTTTTTTTGTTCTTATATATTATGAATTAATGAAAATTATTTCAAACTTCAGTTTGAACAGTTACTTCAAGTATCTTGAATTCATTAAGATATTATAAAATTTTAAGTTTTCTGTTTAATATCTAACTTATCTATTTATACTTCAATGACTCATCACAATAAATAAGATTTATGAACACACGAGAAGAAAACTTTTCGAAGTCGAACTTAGGATCCTCTCTACAGAGTTATAACTATTTTTTTTCTGAAATTTTACCCTATAGCAAAGTAAATACGAAAAAAAATCAAACGACAATATTTTGATCTGAGAGATGTGTGTGAGTACGAACGAGGGCGTAACTAATTGTTTGACTCACGCATATAATTACATCGATAGATAGGTTACCTTGTCCTTACAGTGTTTTGTTCATGAGATATTGAATTCCCAAAAGAAACAGCAGGTTTTTGAATCTTTCCTGAAATATGAGTCAGTTTTTAGGAATTCATCAATTCGTAAAGAAAACATTCTTTTCAACTGAAATTTTCAGAACATTCTAGATATAAGTACATCTCTCTCTAAGCATAATTTTAATTGTCTTATTTCTCAGAGATTTTTAATAACTTCTTAGGATCTACTTAATACAAACTGAAAAGCAATTTTCAAGTTGACATGTCCATGTAAACTTAGATCTTTTTTTTTTTTTGATTATTAAATTCGTTATTAAATATAATTTTTTTCTACCATTGTATAACAATGAATTTTATGTTTAGTGAACAAAGTAAACTTTGTACAACTAATGATCCTCGTTTAATATTTACGAAAGATCCATTAACAAAAGATTCTAATTCAAATTATGGACATCAATCAAATGCATTACAAATTCTTTATGGAATAGATTTAACTAATACAACAGCTATTGTTACTGGTGCTAATACTGGCATAGGTAAATATCTAAACTAAAAAAAGAAAATATAATATGATTATATAAGAATATTTAAATAGGTTTTGAAATAGCTCGTTCATTAGCAAAACATGGTTGTCAAGTTATTTTAGCATGTCGAAATATGACAAAAGGTCTAGCTGCTTGTGCAAAAATTCATAAAGAACAGGTATTTTTCTTTTTTTATAAAAATTTAATAATTCATTTTTGTAAAACTCTCATTATTTGTTATAATTTCAAAAATATTATTGATTTGATAGTTAGAATCATGAATAATTGTTCACGATGATAATAATAACGAAAGTTTTGACAAACTAAAGTTTAGTGTTTTATAAAATAAGATAGAATTTAAAATAAATCAAATTATAAAATTAAAAAAAAAAAAAATTTTATTTTTTTAAATTTAATCATTAGAAATAATTGTTATATTTTAGGAAAATGCAAATGTTAGTTGTCGAAAATTAGATTTATGTTCATTACGTAATGTTAAACAATTTGCTGAACAATATCGACAAGAATGTTTGTAAGTATTTCACAATATTAGAGATCAACAATGAGTATATCTATTTTATTCTGTAAATATATCCTTTATCCTATAATCTACTCAATAATTTTCGAAATTTAATTACTAAGAATCTATTGTCATGACTGTTTACTACTGCATCTTTCATCAATCGAACTTACACTTTGCAATATACAACAGTAGTAGTTGAGATAAGAAAGAAAAAATTTTGAACTTGCGTAAAGCACCTTACGAAATTTTATGTGTATTGAAATGCGACCGACGAAAAATGAAATTCCGATCTGTTTTACCTAAAAATAATCTAATGATAAAACAAGCATGTTTCATAGACATGTTATCTTTGTCGTTGAAAGCAAAAGAAAATTTTGGCACATTCTAATTAATCGAACACAGATTTTTCGCATAGTTCTTCTTGAATGATCTTCATTTCAATTTATTGACGATATATCATTCAATAGTTATTTGTAAAAAAAAACTAAAAGTTTTTCTTAGTCTGCTCCCTTGAGAAAATAATTGTCGAAGGTAGCGAAAGAAGTTGATATTTGTACAAAAAATGCCATGTACTTCTCAAATTTATCAATGTGATGGAAGAAGGAAAATATTTGAGCCTATGAAATATGAATTTAGTGTAGACTTTCACTTTCCAAAGTCTTGTGAATCAATCGTCTATGCTTATTGAACACGAGTTAGTAGAAGAAAACCTACGAACTGACTTTATAACAGTGCGTCATCTGTTAGAAGACAATGAAAACTAAATAGTAAAAAAAAAAAAACTAATTTCTAGCAATAGAAATTAGTTTGTATCTCTCCATCAAATCGATAGAAATCATCAGAAATGATGAAAAATCATTAAAAAAATGAGAACTTAATGTATAACTTTATTACTGGAAGTTTCTATAATATAGATTCTGCTAAAACTCCAATTTTTTTACAGCTTCGTAGTAATTATGAACAGGATCCGAACTTTAAAACACCATTTGTCTTTCGTCGGTAGAAAGTAAAATCAAAATAAACAGATAATGTCGTTACGAGTTGAACAGGGTTCGGCGCAGGAACAGATCATAATGGATTTCGTTCCTTCTTCCTGGTCACTATTTCGAAGGGAAAGCACTTTCTGTAAGAATCCTCTAATTTCCTGCCGAGTTCTTGCTCCATCCGTAAGAAAAAAATCAACAATCCAAAGTTCGAGCCTACCTCGATGTTGTGACGCCGCTATCTATGGATACAATTACTGAGATTGATTGATATTTTTCAATTGAAACCAAATTTATCTCGTTTTACTTTTCTATGTTTATAACAGTAAATAGACTTCAATTTATTTTCTCGTAGATCTTTCATCTATATTTTTTTAGACCATTACATTTTCTTATATTAAATGCCGGCGTTTTAAATCCAACATTTAAATTAACTGAAGATGGTTATGAAGAAATGTTTCAAGTTAATTATATGTCACAAGCATATCTTACTGCCGGATTACTTTCATCAATGTTAACAACTAAAACTGATAGTCCACCACGTATTATTGCAATTAGTTGTGAATCTCATCGAGTAGAGTAAAAAAAACAACAAATTATATTTATTAATTTTCTTTTTTTTTGTTATAAATTATTTATTGATTTAAATATTTTAGAAGTCCAGGTATTTCAATGCTTGATGGTATTACACCCGATCGATTAAGTCCACGTTCACCTAATCATTTTGATCATTTACTAGCATATGGTCAATCAAAACTTTGTTTAATTATGTTTATAGCAGAATTTCGACGAAATTATCCACGTTTGTATATATTGAAAAAATAAATTTCATTTAAATATTCTATTTATTTTCTATTTAGAAATTTATTCTGTTGCTTGTCATCCAGGTAATGCACTCAATACTGATTTAACTCGAAAATCTTATTTATATCGATTTCTTATTACAATTGCACGTCCATTTTCAAAATCTTTGGTAAAATAAAACAGCAAAAAAAAAAAAAAGAAAACTAATTTGTAATTATTTATTTTTTTTTTCTCGCTTCTTTTTCAAATAGCAACAAGCAGCAGCAACACCAATCTATTGTGCTATAATGAAATGTGTTTTAAATGAACCAACAATTTATTATAATAATTGTTATGAAGGTTCTCCATCATCATTTGTTTATAATACAAAATTAACTGAAGATCTATGGATACAAACGCAAACAATGATTGAATTAGCTTTTAAAAAACAGCCATTAATTGTTTAAATTTTCCGTGCTTTTTTTTTCTTCTTATTTTGTCAGATTTAATATGTTTTAATTGAAATAGAAATCTAATAAATAAAAAATTATTATAATTATTATTTTTTAGATTATTAAATCTTCTTCATATAACGGAAAGAAAAAAACAAATAAATTTCTTCTTTTTTTTATTTTATTCAGTTTCAATGTTTAAATGGTATTCAGATATGAATGTTGTATATATTATTTATATTTCATCATTTTTTTTTTCTTTTTTTTTTGTTGTTTAGTACTTATTATTAACAGATAAAAAACATTCCAATGGACGAAAGTTCAACAACAATAACATTATCAAGACGATCACGTAAACGTTCAATATCTTCTCATCGTCATTCAAAAACAGATAATGATGGTCGTACATCATTAATAAAAACAAAAATTCAAAAAATCGATGGTCAATATAGAGCATCACCAACATGTCCAATTAATAATGAAGAAGAACAAACACAAAGTAGTGATGATCAAGATGAACCATTAATTGTTGCAACAGTTCCTCCATTAATTCAAGATAGTTCTAATTATCGTACACGACAAGATATTTACGATGATGAAACAGGTGATGATCAACAATCAAATTCATCATCAACAGATTATTCACCAATACATCAATCAGAATCATCTATATCTGTTCAATTACCTATTAAATCTACAATAATTACGATTCAAAAACCAACACAATTATTTAATGAAAATCCTAATGAAACTATTAATGAAACATCTCTTAATATACCAACAATGTCAACAAAACGTTCGACTTGTTTAATTAATGAAGAAAATATTCAAGAAAAATCTGTTACTATTGAACAATCAGTTCACGAACGAACAAAAACAATTAAAAAATCAAATTTGAATAATAAAATGTCGTTATCAAACAGTTCAAGTGCAATACCAATAGATCAAAACCAAATAAAGTAATTTCAAATCTTTTTTTTCTCCTCGATTAATTTTCTTCTAACATTTTTGGCAATAAAATTTTCGCAAAGTTGATAAACATTTTAGCTTCATTAATAGAAACTTGAAAACTGGTGATCGAAAAGGTTTTTATACAAGATGTTTGTTTATTTTTGAGCTATTAAAAAATATTTCCGATGAGTTAGAATCAGAAATTTGCGCTCTTTCTACATAATATAGATCTCAATGAAGTATGAAAAACCACAAAAGGAAAAATGTCCTTAGGCCTTTTGCCCAGAATTATTGGCATTGTACTGGAATTTTAGTCTATGACATGATATATACTAATAAATCGAATGACGACATTTCGTCCACAGACAATTCTTTCTAGCAATAGAATGTTCTGAAAATTTTGGCTAAAGAAAATATTTTCCAGACTTATCCAAAATCGAACGGAATGCGCTGTTTTAGTGTTTTTGATAGTTCACTAGTGTCTACCTTATGCAAAAGTCTAAACTCATCAGAAAGACTTTCTGGTGGCTCAAAAATGAGCAAACATCTTCTCCATGTTAAAAGAAAACAATGAATTGCATTAAACTTCAATTAATATCATAACATTCAGTACTTGCAGAGTCCAATAGAGTTGGTCAAAATCTTGTGAAATCCTTCGCGTAGCTTCATGAATAACCCTGCATTTTATATTATAATATAGGGATAACAAAATTAAATATCTGATCTTCTGTAAGATTAGAGTTCCAGCAGTCACTATATAAGAAAGTTAAGTCTTTTTAAAAAGAAGCAGCTTTTCTTTTACAAGGAAGAGACGCATTTTTTAAATATCTGAGGAATCTTAATGAATAAAAAATTGAATTATTGTTAAAATATAGTAAAATCTTCCTGTGCTGGACGCTATTGAAACTTTTTAAAAGTATTCACTATAGAACTATATGATGAGGCCCATTATGCACAGATTCAATTTCAAAAAAAAATTATTTCGTCGAACCACGAGTTGTTCACTATGAAATGTTTTACTATATGTATAATCTATATAAAAGTTCTGCTCGTATATATACAAGTTGCGTAACCAAACGATGGATACTAATCAATTATTTTCCTTTTTTTAGTAACTCTACAATTCAGACATCATCTTCATCACCATTATCTACCATTGATGAAGCTACTTTAACAACAGAAGATACTACCAGTAAGTTGGTTTCTTTTGTTTGTTATATAAAATTTCTCTTATTGCCTTTTTCTTAGATAAACCATCCGCATCTCTTGATGTTAATTTATCAAATAATAAACAATCTCAAAATACTAACGATCAATCAAAAGTAAAAGTACGATTAAAAACAATTCCCCCATCACCACAAATAAAAAAGGATAATAAACCTATCACTAATGTTAAAACGAATAAATCCGTCGAACAAAAATCAATAAAAAAGTATTATAAAAATCATACTTTTGTTTTTATTTTTTTTACAACTAACACATTTTCTCTTCAGACCTACATCTACACAAAAAGAAACAGTGATTACAACTAAAAAGTCAACACCAACTATTACACCGAAAAAGCCTATTAAAACTTCAAAAAATATAATACCATCATCAAATAATAACAACAGTGAAAAACAACTTGTTCGACCATCATCAATTCCATCATTATCAAAATTAACAGAGAAGAAATCGTCAGATATTTCGAATACAACAACAACAACAACAACTAAATCATCAACTGAATCACTTTCAATAAAACCATCTCCTGTTATACTTGGAAAAATACCAAAATTAAATCCAGCTATTAAACCAAAATCTACAGACAAATTAACATCATTAAAAAGTCTTACTGATCAAAAGTCGGATATTCCTTCTTCAGGAAATACATTAAGTAATAATAAAGGTTCAAATATATTAGAAAAAAATTTGTCTAATATTCAACGATTTTCTCCAAAACGTCGTTCACCACAACGTCCGAATCGATCTCAACAAAATCCTATCAATAATTCAGATCCATTGATATCATTATCACCTAGAGGTGTTGATGATAATATAGATATTATTCTTGGAAAACAACCATCAATATCGAATCAACGTTATTCATCATTACATGATAATGATACACGTACAACTACAAATTTTTCTCGTATAAGTTCAATTGGTCTTGAAAATACTCAATCACAATCACCACTTTCACCTGTAAGTAATAATCTTCTCAAGAAAAAATCTATTTTCATAATTTTTTTTAAATACAATTTTAGGATCCTTCATCCACACTTTATCCTCCACCATCACCACCAACTTTACCACCGCCATCACTTCCATCTCGATCTATACCTTCAACAACAAAAGCATTGATTGATTCTCGTACCAATCAACCTCATGTTTTATCATCAACTAATGAACTTTCACAAACACATAATCGAAAAAATTTTTCAACACCACCTGGTGTTCCTATTTCACGCCCAAATTCTTCATCAAATCTAATAAGTACACAATCAATATCTTCAGTACCTTCAATGTCTAATGATTTTCAAGATCCTTGGACAACTAATAAATCGAATAATCTTTGGGATTCAGCATCATCGGATGAAGAACTAGAAGATGATTCAAATGCTCGAAGATTTTTTCATCAAAATATGCGAGCTGTTGATGAAGAATTATCAAAAATTGACGAACCACATACAACGACATCACCTCTTCTGACTGATAGTCGAACTGAACAATTATTAAAACGTCAGAAAAAAGCTTCATTAGGTCTCACTTCAAATGATGGAACATATGAAAGAAATATTATAGAACCATCAGCATCTGTAGATGATTTTGAATGTGTAGCAATGGATCTTGATAGTCCAAAACATCGAACACAATCGGAAAGCAGTGATCAAAATCAAACAATTGTAGAACCTAGTAACAGTAAAAATACCAATAATGGAGCAGGTTAGTTTAATTATCTTTTAATTATTTAATTTTTTTTAAATATTAACAATGAAACAAATATTTTCACACAATAGAAGATTCTCTGATAATAGAAGTCTCTTCGTCATTAAATCATTTCTCGACAAATTGAAACTTAAATAAGTACAGCATGTTCCAGATGACATTATAGTAAACCTCGATGTTTTTTTCTTTCATTTGATATTCGTAAAAACATTGTGAAGCTCTACAAAACTATTCCATCGATTTTTTAAATAAATTTTCTTTATTAGTGCTAATCTAAAATAAAACGAACGTTCATTCAATTACGACTTTCAAAAAAACCCAATATAAACTAGAAGCTTTTTTTTTCTTATAATATTTCCATTGGAATTTTTAGAATGTCACACGATTCTCCATTATATTTTGCATTTTTGAATGTATGTTTCAGAATTTGAAATGAAATATATCGGATAAGTGACCTCTAAATAAAAAAAACAGACCTGAAAATACTGAAGAAATCATTCTATGATAGACCTGTACAATTTTTCTTTTCTAATTATAGATAATGTTAGTATTGTTGTGGTTTACTTGTGTCAGCTCTAAGTCCTTTTCTCCTGATTCACACATAGAGAAATCTTGCAACAATGTTAGAAATCTAAAACACGAAATTTTCTATGTATTGGTATAAAACAATTTGCCTTCATGGCTTGCCTTGATAGAGTTTGTTTGGGCCCAAAAAATTTCAATAAAGAGAGTCTGTATTGGAAAATTTTGAATCCGATGGAATCCACTTGATGAGCTACATTTGGCATATATACAAAATATTTAAAGTAAATATAAAATGAGAAAGAAAAGCATTAACATTTAGTACAAGTTCATCTGAAACATCCATTACATTTCAAATAATTCAGTTGCCTTTTTAATATTATGATAGTATATTTTTTTGTTAAGTTTTATTTTATATAATTTGTTTTAAAACATTTGTTGAAAATGATTATCATGAATTGAAATATTTAACTCTATCTTTTTAAAAATCTTAAAAAAACAAACTGCAGAAAATTTGCTTTCGAAATAATATTTTTGTGTAATCGGTTTGTATTTTGAATTCAAACAAATGTTTACATATGTTTTATATACATAGATATTTATTGATAAGCGATTTAAATTAAAATAGGATATATCCGAAAAAAAAACATTTTTATTGATATTTTCTAGCATTGATATCAAAACTTGAGAATTTCAATTCAATCTTGTGAAGCTTCTTTATGAATTTGTTGAACAAATTGCACATTACATTAATTTATCAGAAGATAATAAGTTATAATTTAGCCTCACACTGATCGGACAAATAAGACAGGCTATTATAATAATTCCTGACATTCAGTAGTAGTATATTTTCACGAGATTTCGCAAGCGTGTTGAAAATGAACTTTGACTTTCAGTAAAAAGTATTTTTATTCTAATGTTTATATGCATAGGCATTGATCTAAAAATCGCTACCCTTCTTAGATGAATCTGAATTAAAATAGTTGTTAATGTTTACTTTAGCTGATTCTAAAGTCGCTGAAGCAACAACAGCTTCGTCGATAGGGACAAGCAAGAAATTGACGTCCAAAAATCGTCCATTAAAAACAACTTCAATGACATTAATTGATGAATTAAAAAATTCGATAAATCCATCATCTACTTCTAAACAAACTGTTCTTTCACCTCCTAGTCGTTCATTATCTCGTTCTCGGTCTCGCTCACGGTCACGATCACGTTCTCGTTCACGCTCTCGATCTCGATCCCGTTCACGTTCACATTCTCGCTCTCGTTCTCGATCATCATCGTCATCATCATCATCTTCATCACGTAAACGACGTAGTCGAAGTCGACATCGATCATCTAAACGACGTTCAAACAAACATCATTCACGACGTCGTTCAAATAGTTACGATGATGATAATGAATATGGTGAAAATAATAATAATAACAATAATACTCATAATAATAATAATAATTATCCACCAGCTCCAATGCATTATCAATCACATCATCATTATCCTCATTCTCATCATCAACCACATTGGCAACAAACAAGACAATCTGGTGGTTTATTACCAGGGCCACCACCGCCACCACAACCTTATGGACATCAACAAACTGTACCACCTCTCTTACCAAGTCATCCATATTATCCGCCATCAAATCGATCTATGATGCATCCAGTTGAACCAACAAGTGGTGCTGGTAGATTCAATTTTTTACAAAATCATCATCAACGTCATCATGCACCACTTATGCAACCGCCTTATTATTCACAACCACCACCACCACCACCACCTCAACCTCAACCTCTAATGCAATCTGGATCACGTAGTCATCATCATCCACTAAATCGATACCCACCACCTACTCGACCACCATTCGAATTACCACCACATCCAATAGCAATGGGAAATGTTGGACCACATTTACCAAATTCGAATTATAATCAATATAAGTATGAATCTGAAGAACGTCTTGCTATGAGAAGAACAAAACGTGATACAACAATGACAGGAGCAAATGCGAATAATAATCGACGGGGTGGATCTCAACAAACAGAAACAAATGGAAAAAAGAAAATAAATAATCCATTAAAGTCAAATATAAAATCTTCTGGTAATTTTCTAACATAAACATGAAAGATTGATTTAGGGGTCCCCTCAACGAATTTGTTTTGAATACATTGAGTTGATAAAGATTGAACTTAGAGGTATGCATCAAAATATAGATGTCCGTACGTCCTAGATCTCTAGGGATGCACCAATTCCAATTTCAATCAATTCCAATTCTTAGAATTGACGGAATTGGTTGAAATTGGAATAGGAATTGGTTGGAATTGGAATTGGTCGGAATTGAAATTGGAATTGGTTAGAATTGGGTCAAGTCACCTAAAAATCTTATGGAACCCCAGGAATTGGTCTGAAACTGGCTAGACTTGGCTTGAGCTGACTACAATTGGTATGGAGTCCTAAGAATTGTTATGTAATTGGCCTAAAATTGGCTCGAATTGGACCGTATTGCCCATAATTCGCATGGAATCCTAGGAACTGGTATGGAATTGGTCTGAAACTGGCCCGGATTGGCTTGAGCTGACTACAATTCTTATGGAATCCTAGGAATTGTAGACAATTCGAGCCAGTTTAAGATCAATTCCTAGGGTTCCATACGAATTGTGGGCAATACGGTCCAATTCTAGCCAATTTTAGGCCAATTATATAACAATTCTTAGGACTCCATACTAATTGTAGTCAGCTCAAGCCAAGTCTAGCCAGTTTCAGACCAATTCCTGGGCTTCCATAAGATTTTTAGGTGACTTGACCCAATTCTAACCAATTCCAATTCCAACCAATTCCTACCAATTCCGTCAATTCCAAGCCAAGAATTGGAATTGGAATTGGTGCATCCCTATAGATCTCTCATCATTTCAAATGTCAGAAAGTTTGGATTGGTTGTAAAATGTAGCCAAGGTATGGCGCTGCACAACTTAACCGAACCTATTTTTTCCTAGTTCGTATTTCTCTAGAGCTTCTTTGATAAAGTACGAAAAAATGAGGGAGTGTAGGCTAAGAACGATTCGTTTTTAGTAAACATTAAAGCAAAATTCGAAAAATCTGACTCTATTAAAAGTTATAGAGTTTGCTTTTACCTTCATTTTAATATCAATGACAGCTTTCTAGCAGTATAGTGGAAAATTGCATTTTTACAATAATATTTTACTTAATGTTGTGGTCCTCCTTAGAAATTTCAGATAAACCTGAATAAGAATGGTTTGCTGTGAAAATTTCCGATCTTTTGATTTGCTTTTTTTTCCTTGAAATGAGAACATCAAATCCACCAGGTATCTACCGAAGAAATTTTCGTCCAATCGGACAAAGTAAAAGTTGAATCGTAAGTAGACCCGATGGTTTTTGAAAATCTATTTTGAAAATTTTTTCTCTCAACATTAGTCTCATCACTTTCGATAATTCAGCTATAGAAAAATCTTAAGTTCAACCAGTACTCTTAAATAGACAAACATTAATCTCACTGCAGAAGCATTTCAAATAAATCTATTTCTAATAATAAATCTTTTCTTTTTATAGAACATCAAGATATGGATCAATTGTTTATAAAACGCGATAAATTATTAGCTCAATTAAATGAAATATCTGGTAGTGTTGATAATGATGAAGATTTATCATCTGCACATGATAAACGATCCTTATCAACAAATTATTCGAATGAAACTAAACCTACTAATTCTCAAGATGATGAAGGCGAAGAAGGTGAAATAAGTGAAAGTGACTAAAATTTTAAATTTAAAAATAAAAAAATGTTCCAACATATATTTTAAAAATTCTTATTCGGTTTTTTTTTTGTGTTTTTGATTATTCAGTTTCTTGATGTCTCTGTCGTTTTTGTTTTTGGTTGTTTTTTGTACATACTGTTCTTTCGAAATAGGTTGCGAGACGATAAAGCCAAAAAAAAAATAAGAAAATGGCGCAATGATTCGTATATATTTTTGTTTTTACTTATTTAAGAATATACCTGCTCTTGCGCTTGTGCACGTTGTATGTTTTTCTGTTAAAAACAACGAGAAAAAAAACCACAAAAAACAAAAAAATATAAAAATTTCGATTTCTGTATGTGTGTCACTTCGTTTTGCCTTTTCACATCCGTTTTCTTCTTTCTTTTTTTATTTTGTTCGTGCTTTTTATTTCTATATCTGTTACGAAGTATCAAGAAGACAAAACTGCAGATCTGTGTACTACCTAATTTTTTTTTTCGTGTTTCATAGATTAAAAGAAAGAAACAAAAAAAAACATATAAATGATGAATTATAATATCGATGTTTTCATAATACTAGGATTATATTTAGTAATATTTCTATTTCTGCTTACTTGTTTTTTTTTTGTTTCTTTACCTAATAGACAAAAAACCCAAACACACAAAATATATACTGAAGAAAATAAAGAAATCTCATGATCATAACCTTCATATGGTTGCACAGTGCTTTAACACATATGGAAATACAAAAAAAAATAATAATCGAGAGAGAGAGAGAGAGCAAGAGAAAGACAGATGACTGATGCGTTGCACCGGTTTAAGACAGATAGACAACATACACTGAATGAGGAAAAGACTTGAATGTAAGAAGACAAAAAAAACAAGAGAAGAAAATTCAAAGCTAATTATATATATATTAAACGGAAATAAAAAGATTATAGTTTAACTTGTTTCATTGGCTATATTAGTACCTTGATTGAGTAGTTGTTGATGAGCATCACTCGGTGAAGAATTAGTTGTTGTTACTACCGGTGCAGCTGGAGTACCTGAAATTAAATTTAAAAAATAAACAACACATTATTATTTTGTTTTTTTTCCAACATACGTGATTGTGCTGGAGTTTTTCTTGCATTTTTTTGACGCATATAACGAACAGTCATAAAAATGATAGCAATAAAAAGAATAATAAGTATGACAACAGCAAGTATGATCCATATTTTTGATGAAGCTGCATCCATTTTATTCGATTTTGAAAGTGCTAAAATAAAAAATAAAATATTTGTTTTATTTAATTATAAAGAATTTCTAATATACCATAATGAATTGAATCTTGACAAATTTGTTCACAACTTTCAAAATCATCACAATTTTCAATCATTGCAATACAACGATTCTTATCATCATGACATTTGCAAATATACTAAAAATAATTTTAAAAACTGGGTTTTTTTTTCTTCATCTATTCAAAATTTTATTTATTTCATACTTACTTGATTTTTCTCATTTGTTTGTTTACAATTAAGATGAAATTGACTTGAACATAATGATGCATAGGATGCATTTCGACAAACATCTCTAATTCTCATGCATCTATCACCACACATAACATGAGTAACTAAAAAAAATAAATATGACAAAAAAAAAACAAACAAATAAAACCATTTTTATCTTGTCTTAACTTACATTGTCTTTCAGTTAAACATCGACTTGGTATTCTTGTTGCTGGTTTTGCTGTTGTTGTTATTTTATGGCAATGTTCTTCATCATTACCCAATGGACAATCATAAACACCATCACAAAGCCATTCAAATGGAATACATGTATGATTTGCATGATTTGATTCAGTACCAGTATAATAACAATCAAAACCATCATTGGGTTTATCAAGTGTACAACGTGCTGTAGTTTTAAATGCTTCAGTATATTGTGTATGATCTTGTTCACAAGCATGAGCTGATTCAGCACAATTTAAACGATTTTGACATAGAATACGACCAGGTGCACATTGATTATTTTCTAAGATACAAAGAAAAGTTTTTTTTATATTTCATAAGAGAAATTTAAATTTCACACTTACTTGCTTGACAACCACCTGCGAGGAATCGTTCATCACTTGGACATGAACATGTCTGATAACTATTGATAAAAAAAAAAGAATTTATTGATTATTAACAAACAAATTATTTTGAGTATGTCAAAAATAGTGGTGCCAGTATCATAAATATCTTGTAAAAAAAAAAACTTGCGAAAGTTTTCTCTCTTTATATATGGATAGTTCAAAAAGTACTCTATAAGATTTCACCATTCGTCAGTTCATATAATAATATGAAAATTTCGATACAAACTATTCATCTTTGTCTGAAATGAGTAATCAAAATTTTCGCATTTGACTATAGGTGGGAACAAAGACAAGAGGTTGTGGATGAATATCCTTTGCTTACCCTCATCTACAGTCAAAAGAAAATATTTTTCTTACGCATTTAAAACATAGATGTACAGCTTGTATTAAAATTTTAATATTATTATATTAATTCAAGAGCAATGAAATCTTCTAAAGCACTTGTAATGATTGATACTCAACAAATCATTTTTTAATACTTTAGAAAACAATAAGATATGAAAAGAAAAATCAAATGTAAAAAAAACGTAAAGTTTAATGAAGTTTGAAATTTCTTGAAAGAAAAAACAGCATAAAAACTTACAGTATAATACCTACACATACAGCGTGAATCAATCCTCTTTCTTCGACTAGTGTGCGTACATAGAACATAAGTTTTCTGAGAAGTTTTTCTATTTGTTGTTTCAAGTACGAAAAATTGAAAATATCCAGCGATAGGTCTAGTTGGCTGATAAATCAACACCGAATGACTTCTTCTAGATTTTGAAACAGTATAATTTTCAAGTAATCAACGATTACGAATTACATTAGAAATTTGCAGCGTGCTTGAAAAACTAAGGTGGCCACCACTCGAAGTGTTTTCGACCAATGATACAGCCGCTCCGTGTCCTCCTTATTCAACAAGCGTGAAACAAGAATACTTAACCTTAACTGAAAAATTTTATTTCGCCAATTTTTTTACTCATATTTATTGCTCTATAATATCTCTGCAGACTTTCCTAAGAACAACAACATAAAGTTGAAAATACAACGAGAGAATTTTCAATTAGGAAAGATGTAACGTGACATACATATATATATACTCATTGAATGTTTCTCTCCGTCTTAATTTATTTCGTAGTTACGAGTGTACACATTTTATTTTAAGATGAATCTAAATATGATGCTCGTCACAATGAAATACACTAACTTTTGACTTAAATCGATTCGCTATTATGATAATAGTTATTCAATATTGATAACGATTTTATTTATAGATTCAATAAATGAATATGAAATTGGATGGTAAAACAAACATTATCTCCGAAAGAATGGATCTATCAGTGATTGAATTCCTTCTCTTAACTTTTTAATATTTAACGCTGTCCTTTTAAAAATTCCTAATAATAGAATTTAATAACTAATATGATTGAAATGTGGCGACTCAACAATTACTCTTACTTTTTCTTAGAACACAGACAATAAAATTCTCTGAACTACAATGAACTAAATATATATATTCATTGCATCTAATGGTTTCTTCTGTTAGTCAAATTTCGAAACCGCATATATACGGCCTCAATCATAATTTTTCTTACCGTGCATCATCGCTACATACACAACGGAATCGTCCATGTTCAAGTGGAATACATAAATCGGAGCAAGGATTATTTTCACAACGATTAATTATTGTTGCTATACAGAAAATCATATATATATATAAACTATGAAATAAAAGAAAGTAATAATAATTTGATAATTACTCGAACTCATTGGCATAACAGGTGCCATATCAATAAATAATTTTAATGAATTAAAATTTTTAAATTTAGCTATTTTTTTTGCAAAACTTTTTGCTAATATATCAATAGCTTGTAAATAAATCTTTGGTGACTCTGTATCAATACTTTGCTGTGTAAAATAAAGAATTGGATGTATAAATAAAGGATTTTGTATAGTTGATGAATGTTCATATATAATTCTTGATGAATAATGACGATAATCAAGTGTATTGAATCCATAAATAGTTGAATTAACAACAAAAATAATTTCATGAGTTATTGGATCATATGACATATAAGTTATGTTTGAATCTGTTGGTAATAAATGTAAATGTTTTTTAATTTGTCCTTGAAGATTTCCGATATTCAATATTGCTGGTGAATTATGTGAAATCCAATAAAGATGTGTTTTAATTGGATCAACTAGTATTATTGATGGTTGTATATGTTGATTTTTAATAATTGTACGTCGTTTATGTGTACGAATATTAAGTATAAATATTGTTTGTTGTTGAGTTTTTTTATTACGCATAAGAACATATAAATTTTGTGTTAAACTATCCAGAGCTAAATATTCAATATGTTCATCTGTAGTTTTATATAATTCATTATTTGTATCAAATGTTAATTTTTTTGAATCACGATTTTGTTGACGAAGATTTTTCTATAACAAAAATAAAATAAAATAAATTAATTAATTAATAAACTTATTTTATTGAAATAATTTTTACTTACTCCTATACTATAAATAAATGTAAATTCATCATGTTCAACAGCCATATAAACTTGTTTACCATTTTCATCAAAAGCAAGTGCTGTTATTTCATATGTTTCATCAACAAGCCAACTTGTATTTTGTATCATAACTTCATTAATTTCATCATCATCATCATCGTCATCATCATCATCAACAGTTTCATCAAAATCATTTGTATGTATTTCAACAATAGGATGTTTTGTACGTGAATCAATACCATAAACAAAAAAATTTGGATGATTTGGATCACGACGTGTTACATGAGCGTCCGAAAGATAATTTTCAATTCCATTAGAACATTGACTATTGATTGTTTTAACATATCCACGGGATTTTGTTAGAAGAGTACTATTATCATTGCAAGTACAATCTTGTGTAAAGATATA